CAAGGTCTCGGGTCATGTTCTTGAATAGAAGGATCAATTGCCTCGCACATTGCCAGCGAGAGTGGAGTAGCATCTAGCAGCTCGGATATCAAAAAGAAACTCTGAACCCATCTACACAAATACGTGCTATCGTACATGGCCCCATACTTTTCTCGTACACGGCTACGTATCTCGTAGTGAATGTGAACCCGCCATAAACGCCTGTGCAACACTTCGTCCCTCAGCCAAAGCCAGGGAAGCCCTGTGCGTTGAAATCAAGTGGCACAGTGGGCGCTGGTGGCACACCATTGCCCATACCCTGAGTCGTCTGCGCATCGTTCAAGAACCAAGACCAATCTTGATCAATGTCCATGGGCATATGTTGCCACGAGAAGTTGTTCGTCGGCAGTGGGAAGTTGTTCATACTGTCGTCGTTGATCTGCGAGTTGAACGTGCCTCCTGCAGCAGCGCCGGTCGCCGAAGCATCATCTGCGTTGAGGTTGTTCCAATTGTAGAAGCCGTCGTACGACACAAAGGGCGAGGGGTCGGTGAAGTTGAAGGCCGAGGTAGCAGTACCTGCGGAGACGGACGTCTTGGGCGTGACATTAAGCGATTGTGTGGGCTGCGAGAAGACGTCTGAAGAAGTCCGCGACGGCTTCTCCGACGTGGGTGTGTAGAGTTGTGCTGATGTCCCGGGGGACCTTGAGCTCCCCATGCTGGGTGAACGACCAGGAGGGGCTGGGCCTTTCTTGACTAGTTGGCCTCCTCTCTTGATGGAGATGGTACCAAAGTACGGGATAACGAAGTTGGCCTCTCCGGTGCAGGCTTCGTCTATCTCGTTGCTTGTGCCCTTGAACTTGCTCATCATCTTTTCGAGCACCTCGGCGGACTGAGCGGCGACTTTGCCTCCCTTTTCGCTGGATGCGCGGCGAAAGATGTCGATGCTGACTTCGATGAGTCGCACGTCTTCTTCAATCTCTTTCGGGGTAGGTCCGCTGCCTGAGGATTGCGAGACCATGCCAAAGTTGAGTAGGCCGATTTGAATGAGAACTGCAGCTGTGAAACCGATGAAGTCGATAGCCTTGCACTCGTAGAGCGGCTGGATGTGCCCCATCCGCAGAGACTGGTACAGTCGTAGTACTTCTCGTGAGCCGTTCAGGCATGCGGTTTTCGAGTACGAGAAGCGTGAGTTCGATGCCGCTTTGAGCATGAACGGCAGATGCAGGTACACGCGGATCTGATGGAAGATAATCTGACCCATGATTCGCTCTCGTAGTTCTGCCGCATTGGTCTCCGCGTCGGCGAGTAACTCTGTGTAGTTTAGCCATGCCGGGTCGAACTTCTTCCACAGGTCTTCTAGTTCTTGGTCGAGCTGCAGTGCCCATGCGAAAGACTGTTCGGCGACTCCTTGGTTTCGATCGATGACCCTCCCTGCGAGCTGTGAGAGCTTCGTGATACCGACCAAGGGATGGAGGTATGTGCCGTCGCCGACATCAGGCATCGTCAGGTCGCAATGCGCGTCAGTGACACCGTATGGAAGACCCAACAAGAGAGATAGGAACCGGTCGCCGTGGTACAAAGCCCACCAGATGCTTTCGTGTGGTGCTGAGGCTGTGCGCTTACGGTGCAGTCCCTTTTATAACTTAGTCATGGTTCGGCGGTTTGTGACAGCATAAACTTACCATGAGCTGGGCATACATCAAGCCCTTACGATATGCGATCCAAGCTCGTCGTGGTTGACCTACATCCGCGTACCACTTGGACTTCAGGATGAGACACTCCAGGCCCTCCAAGCTTGCTGCATACTCATCATCGGACAGGAACCAACGGTCCACAGCCTCGATGTAGCGCTCAACATCGTCGTCGTCCTCCGATGAACAGATTCCGACTGACAGGACAACAGTAGCAATCGCGCCAATGTTTCCAGTCGTCAGGGCCTGCGCAGCGAATTGAGGCAGTGTTTGCTCAGGACCGGAGGTGCCACTGCATTTTCTCCGCCATGTCTGCCACCAGTCACTGTTCGAGTTGAGAAGTTTGGTGAGTTGATCGTAAGGCGGTAGCATCGCAATCAGTGCTTGCTTGCATTTCTCTCGTTTTGCGGAGTGCGCGATGGTGGCTCCAGCAGCTATGTCATCGTCGTGTCTGTTTTCTATTGTATACCGATCGTCAGCCGCTCCTCCGGGCTTTGGTGTTGATTGCTCCAAAGGACAATTGCGGGCCTTCGCTTGTGCTTCGGCATCGTTGAGCTGTAGATGGTAAGTATCAGATAGAGCTTAGAGTGTTGAAATACATACTGCATCTTCGAATACAGAGAGGATAGGTATATGGTGACCTCGGTCTGAAGCAGCACGCTGGTTGTTCGGCAATTGGAAAATGTTGGACGAGGCTCCTGAGGAAAGAGGAGTCGGTGGGAAGGTGTCCTTGTGGTAAGTAGTAGGTGCTTTTGGTGATGAGGTGTCGGCTAAGCTCTGGCTCTGACTCCGGCTTTCTGACTTGACAGTCTTGTCTTCTAGCAACGTGTCGACCAAGGCCTCTAATCGTGATACTCGCTCACGGAGGTTCTTCCTATGGTCGACAATGACTTCCGGGTTGGCGTGTTCTTGGTCGATGCACCTGCTGCCGCGCGCGAAGCATTCTGAGCAGACATCCGGATTGTCGGGCTGGAAGATGCATCGGATCTTGCGGCGACGACCTAAACTCCATCAGAAAGGCCCACAGTATGAAGACGATGAAAGATAGAGTAGAGCAGAATGTTGGCGTGATGATGCAGGCAAGAGGAAAGAGTAATAGTAACGCGTAGCAGTGTGGTGTGGAGTGATTATTCAACTAAGGCAATAACTGGATTCACATACATTCGAAGCAACTATGCGTACCCTTACGCATCTTTTTGCGTGTCGGTAACGTCTCCTCCTTGGGCATCTCGATTCGTTGTGTTCCAACCACCCCGATCGCACGAACCTAGCTCTTGCGACGAATTCGTCCGGACTCGGCTCTGCACGGCGCACTCCGGATCGCGGAAGTTGATGGATATATTATCGCGTCCGCAACTTGTTCTGGCAAGAACAAACGGACCCAGTTGATGAGAAATAAAGAGGCTTCAGTGGTAGCAAGAAGTCAGACGTAAGCTGCTGGCAGTGATGGGGTTTCAAAGCAAATCGAGGAGGTTCGGACGGTCTTTCGTCCGTTAGGTCCGTGTATTAGGTCAGCGAAAGAAGCTGAATAATGCCCGCTTAACGGCCGTACAAGGACTACTGCTGACCACGGAAACTTATAGTACGCCAGGATTTCCAGGCAACAATGTTATCTCGCGTTTGCGGGCTCTCGGGGGTTCGGTCGAGTCGGAGATCCTCGACCCCGTTCCCCATTTGGCGAAGTATGCGAAGAACGATGCGAATAATCTCCAGGTGTACGAAGAGCGGTTAGCCGGGGGCTATGCTAATGCTTGAGTCGATCACGAAACGTGGAGTTTGCGGGTAATATCGCAGGATGCGACTTGGCTGTAGTCGCGACCTCGATAATGCATGCGTCGCAATACGCGTATATTACCCCACGGGAGTCCCCGCGACCCTTGCTCACGACATAGTAAACCTAACTTCGGGAGGAGATGGGTACGCTGTCGACGGAAAAGTCTGGACCCATTATGACATCGTTTTCGAACGCTTGCGTGGAACGCGGTCGGGCACAGGCTAGCAAGCCCTATGAACGGTAGGGCACCACACGTCATCCGTAGCCTGCCGCATCGTACCCAGCAAGATCACCGTCTTACTGCCAGCTGCCCATCTTTCCAAACCCAACGCTCTAACCAAAAAGATCTACAGGCCCTGTTACACAGATGCTCAGTATGGTACTTTGATTGACAACACTGGATGAACATTCCTCACTCCACAATCAATTGGCTGCAGCACGCGTTCTGATGAACAACATGTCTGCAGCACACGACTTCCGTCATAACCAGCATCTTCCACCGAGTCCACCTCCCTCACCCCCATCTACACGACGGAGACACAAGAAGAAGAAATCAGACCCATTCGAGGAACTCGCAACCACGCCAATACCATCGCTGCCATCTTCCCCAGCAAACGAGCTGAACGACGACCAAGAATCGCTTTTGACAAGAGTAAGCCAATTCCAACGACGAACCTATTATTTGCTTCCTAACAAATCTCAAAGATTATCTTAACGCCTGTATTATTCATATCCTTCCTCCTCTCCCTCTTCCTCGTCAACTACCGCAACCGCGCCCGCCGCACCGAAGCTCACTCTCCCGGCTTCTCTCTCCTCACTTACCTCGCCCCGTCTAGCTGGCTCGATCCAGAACCCTACCAAGACCCCGACGATTCGACATGGGGCCGAAGAGGAACCATCGGACATGTAGAGCCTCATGACGCTATAGGGCCGCGGCCAGACGAGCCAGGCGAGGAGATGCCCAAGCAGAGGAAAAAGAAAAAGTCATGGCATCTGAACAGGAAGATTAGAAAAATGGCCAAGTTGGAGATTGGCGACGCGCTTGAGATGCGGGGGCGCATGATTGTGGTTATGCTTGTAGTGTTGGGGTTGACGTGTGGCATGTTGTGGATGGGTGTCAAGTGGGCTGTTGTCTCGGTATCGGGCATGATGTCTGGCCCAGAAGCGTGATTAGCAGAACGGGATCATCGTTTTTGAATAATAACACGCACGATACAAAAAGCATAAGAGAGTTTTATTCTATGTTTTGAATTGTCTAAATCTGGGCTCTTGCTGCGGAGTACCCTAAGAACTATGGCGAATTACTCGAACACCAATAGAGGCCGTTAAGAGGTCGTCCCATCATTAAGATACAGTCGTGAGCGCATTAGTCGTAAATGAAGAAAGAAGAAACGCCAATGCATAAACGAAGACATGCACAGTCGTCTACAAAGGAAGGGTATCGCAGCCTTTTCAACGCCCAGCATAATTCGAGAGCCACCTGGCCATGCGCTCGGGGAAGATGTAAACAGAATACTAGGGAATGGAGAAGGAAATAGGAAATGCAACTCTGGCCACTAATGCCTCGGAGTGAAGAGGCGCGCAACAAGTCGATCGAAAAAGTACCCCATGTCGGCACCTCGTCTCTTCTCTTTAGCTTTCTTGATCAGATAGCTAGATGTATTCTCTATCTTGATAGCCTCGCGTAAGCCTTGAATAAACACATCTTCGGGTGTGCCCGTCTGGTGAGACTGCATTGACTCGCCCTCCCAGTCCGGCCTGAGTCTAGCGTGGCAGCCAGAGAAGCAAGCGATGTAAAACTCAAGTAACTCTTTGACACCATGATCATCGACCTCGGCATTTTCTTCCGTAGTAGATGGACGCGTGAAGTCGTAGCGGGTGTGGTACGGTAGCTTCGCGGCGTGGTAGTGGATAGATTCTACTGTCATCAAGACAGTAATGAGAACAGCTAGGGCGATAGGCCATTCATCGCAGTTCTTGTTCAAGAGAAGTTGCTCCAGTGATGTGAGTAGATCCTTCATCAAGCTCAGAGCGAGAGCAGGCATGATCGCACCGAACTGCGAGCGGATGAAGCACGGTGTGGGAGTCAGGTCTTCGGGTATGTTTATCGTACTGCAAATGACTTGGTCCAACATGGGGCTCTCAGAGCGTGATGGCAGTGTTATATCGCCGCCAATGTGGACAAGTACGAGAAGCTTGAGCGCCTGGTGAAGTATGCGATAGTGAGGAGATTTTGTCGAGAGGGATCGGGAGAAGACGTAGATGTCGCGTAGGATTCGGAGCGGCGAACAGTATAGTGGGAAAGCGCGGAAGTGGTGAGCTACTAGTAGCGACAAGTGGGAGTCGAGGGTTTGTGTTAGTTGGAATTGCGCATCAGTTGTTAGTACAGCTGGTAGGACGGCATGCTCGTGTGGTGAACCGGTATAAGGCTGTGGCGGCCATGAGTAAATGATATGTTCGTGAACCAGAGGAGCGTCGCCGTTGAGCTGCACAGGGTGTACTGAAACCGGGAATGATGGACCAAAGCCGAAGTTCAACGGAATGGTGTGGGTGACCTCTTTTGAGATTTTGAATTGGCCAGCCGAAACGAACGACTCCAAGGGTCGTGCGGTCGGATGCCACCCGAGACGGTCAGAGAGAAATGCAGCAGACAGATCAATGAGTGTATGATCCCGACACGGGTGGTTGACAAGATCACCTTTGTAGTGATCAAGACAGGCTCTGCACGGAGTACCAGGGTCGCACTTTTCTTTCCGCCGTTGACAGTTGGAGCAAGCGCCGATAATGCGCATCAGTGCTGCGTGCTGGCGCTGCTCAGCAGTGAGAGCTCTCTTTCGTCCTTTTAGCGCTCTTCCTGACATACCCTCTGTACTAGTGGGGGCCAGACGATTGGTCAGTGGGTTGGGTTGGTAGGATACCCACCCGTAGGCGTCGGACGTAGGAGATGGAGTAGAGGCTTTGCGCCGAGAGAGCGAAGCGCTTCTGGAAAGCGCAACACTGCGAGGGTAGCGTGAAGTGCCTGGCGATACCGAGAGCATGGGAGGAGCTCTTCGTGCCGATACAGACGCTGTAGCTCGATTGCTGACGCTTTGTCCACGTGTAGTATCCGGGATAGCGATGGCTCTGCTCCGACTGTGTAGATCATACTCGCCATCTGATCGCTGATAGGATGGCAGCATCGAACTATATCTCTGTGGGAAAGATTGGGGAATTGCGATAGGTTCGACTTCTGATCTGCCTCCGTCGTCTTCTGCAATAGGTTCGATGATCCGTGGCTGCTCTGCCCATGTACCAACGTTCGAAAACAGCCGGGAGTGTCTCATATCCAGACCACTGAAGGAGTGGGATGAGTCCGCAACATGAGGATTGAACACTGTTTCAGCCGTACTCTCAAAAGACCCTGCCGGCGAAGTGAAGGATTCCGGGATACGCTCATATCGTGTGTCTAGAATGGGTGAATCGCTGATGACTCCAAGCGGGGACAGGAGACTGTTGTCGCAGGCACCAAACGATCCGAAGTACTGGCTATCCGCTTGTACGACGAGCGGAGAAGTGGAGATCGTGTCAAAGGATAGAGAGGTGCCATGCACTTGTTCAAACGAGGACTGCCCATCTAGGATTGATGGTGGGGCAGAAACAGTATACTCGAGCGAAGGCGGTTCATCGGCGATCGAGGGCGGCGCTGAAACCAGGTACGCAGGCTCAGATGTATAGCTTTCCGATAGTTGGTGGCCTGCAACGTAGCTACGCTCTTGAGTGCCCGTGTAGTTGGTCTCCCCTTGGAAGAAAGGGTCGTACAATTCGTCGTCCCAGGCAACAAGATCCTGCCAGCTTTCGTTCGGTGAACCCAGGTACGGGATATGAGACATGCTTTGGGTCGGCGGTATCGCGCGTTAGGCTGATGCGAAGGTGCAAGCGAGGATAGAGGAAGACCGTAAGGATCACCCCTTCGCTGAGGGTCTCATGCGGCTAGCGAAGAGAGATGGAAGCGCGGACAAGACTGAATGTCAGAATGTTGCGTTGTAGGGTGGTGTCTGCGTAACATCAATGAACATCTCCAGGCTGAAAGGTGGCCAAAGTTATATTCCACGCGCAAGCTGGGGCAACGTTGGGGTGCTGCGGCTGACTGCGCGGACTTGACTGCCTTGCATCAAAGGCCACCAGGGCAATTGACGAGTAGTCGTCAACGGGCTTATCACGTTGTTGCTGCTTATTAGTCAATGACTAGAACTTGTCTGTGAGCGGCCGCAGGCGGTTGGTGCTGGAAACTTTGCGTTGATGGTATGATGTCTTAGGGCTGGTCGGCAGTGCCATCTGACCATGCGCGGGCCTGCAGCATGGTGGCCGGTCAACTCGATCTGTGATAGCCCTGTCACCGTGCTTTGCCGGCTACGTCTCCCCGCTGTATACTATGAAATGGAGCTCGAATCAGAGCTTGCAACGTGAGCACCCTGCGACGTAGTGCAGCATGTCGGCTTTACCCATTTGCGCGAATTTGGTAGACCATGTCTAAAGAGGCAGGCTTCTGGAAAAACTCCGCCCCATCGTGGCTGTGGACGATGGGACTAGTTTGATAAACTCCGGCCGTGCGTATGCCTCTCTGTGTACCAGGGCGTTGTTACACATTCTTTCTCTTCGACATTTCCACGAGGTGGTAGGTGCTAAATGTCGAACAGTGCTGTGGGGTTTAGAAGGACGACTGCCTGTAGCTGGTGTGCAGGTGCCTGGGCAGGCTGAGGGTAAAGCCTACGTTTGCCGAGCTGAAGCAACACCTTGACCCCTTTGGGGAGACGTCAGTTGCAACTCTCGCGCGACGGCAAGATTGCCGCGCGGGATGGGAACACCTCGGTTCAGAGGTAGCGTTCTTTGACGCCCTCCCCAGACTGTCGTGAACAGACATGCCAGGGTCAAGCGATTATCTAGCCCTTCTGAGTAAACGACATCTCGAATGGACGCGCTATGTATTGCCAAGCGAGAAGCAGCCTGACGTGTTGCCTTGTATGCGGGTCTCTCACGGCATGCGACCATCACCGAGCAGTTAGAGGAACTGCGCCTTACGCTGTCCCTGCGCTAGATGCTGCAGTAGTTTGTACTTGTATGCATGCACTCCACTCATACAGATGTGTAGCCAGCGAGCCTCACTCTTCCTTCGTGTTTGCGGCTCTGCGCAATCACTTCCCCTTCTGCTCGAGCACGTCGCTGACGTAGACTATCCTCAAGACCGTCGATTGCGCAAAAATAACTCAACCCTCGATGCGTCTACCGCGATCCGACCAGGGTCAGTCACTGCGAGAGCTTGTCACCAAGAAATGAACGTGGGACGCAGAAGTATAGTAATGTTTACATAGTTCATACTGAAGGACCCAACGCCGAGAGGACGGAGTGGGTCCAGCCCAAGGAATATTAGGGCAGGTGGTTTGGCCAAAAGATACCAAAGCAAGCAACGCGAACAGACAATGGCCGTAAGAATACGTATATGCGAACAGTAAGACATACGAATGTAGAGAAATACAACAGGAGGAATCAAATCCAGAACGAAACATGTACGAGTACATGTATACCGAGCCCACCCGAAACAACCGTTGACTTGACGTCGGGTATCATCTAAAAGGAAGAAATGTGTGAAGCAGACTGGTATCGTACAGAGCCGATCGCCAAGCTACTCCGAACCTCGACGAGGCTCTTTTTCCCCCCAATTTTTGTCAGACATCGATCATGTCGTCGGATCCCTGACTAGGTGTCGGATCAGAACAAGACCACGCGCGCATGCGGATGATGATGTCCAGATCCGGATCCCCGTCTAGTCAGGAAGCCTCGGCGGGAGCGAAGAACAAGACGATCTCGCCTCTGTCGTTCCTTCTGAGGCGCAGATCCTTCCAGAGCTCTTTCTCCTCTTCCGCCTTGGAGGGCGCACGATCGCGCTGCTCGGAGCGCTCGCGGTGGTATCGTTTCAGGGCCTTGTTGACACTCATGCCGCGTTCAGAGTCTGGTCCTTTGGTAATGAAGGACATGAACAGCCCCGCGCGCGCATCGAAGTCTGCCGAGGCATGTGCGACGTCTCCACTAGGGCGCACGATAAGCTGACCTTGGCCATCTGGCTCCGGGGAGTTTGTTTCCGAACGGTGGTACTCAATAGCCTTCATGGGCTTGCGCTCTCGCGGTGCTGGCGATACCGAGGACGAGTATTGGCGGCGACGGATGCGACGAACCTCTGTGGTAGAATCCTCCCGCTTCTTCTTGGGCCTGATCTTCACGAGAGCAGTGTTGGCCTTGCGCTCTTTGCGTTCCTTATTCTCCTTCCGGTCACGATCGCGGCCTCTGTCCTTCTCCTTCTCCTTTTCCTTCTTCTCTGCTTGCTCACGTGCCTTGATGTCAGCCTTGCGCTGCTTTGCTTGTTCTGCCTCGTATTCTCGCTGCGCGCGCATAAGAGCCTTGGAGTTGCCCTGCTTGACGCGTTTCATCGGGCTCAAAGGCGAGTTGACGTAGTCACCTGAGTCATCTGGCGAAGGTGGGAACTCAGGGCGGGCAAGGAGTTTGTTCAGTCCTCCAGTAAGACCAGAGTGGAGCATCGCGGGGGCATCGGCCATTGTAGTATCCCTTTCCTCTTGGGCGCGGATCGCCGACATGTCAAGTTCGCTGGGCGAATTGCGCTTGCGCTTGCGATCGGTCTTCTTCGACGTCGTCTCCACATCGGTATCACCCGACTTTGTCCTGTTGTGCTTCGACTTGGGAGCAGGCGTGGCATACGAGTCGTAACGCTCACGGGAAGGGCGAACTTGCTCAGTCCCGTACGAGAATCCATTTTGTGCGAAGGACTCGTCGTCGTCGGCTACCTGGAACTTCATAACGTCTGCGATTGCGGGCATGTACTGCTCGTCGTATGCGGGCGGCTGACTGTCTTCGAGCATACGCGCTTCATCGATGTGCGTGGTCGTTCTCGGAACATTGGGCGTCGAGGAGGGGTCCAGGAAATCGAAGACATTGGGCGCTTCAATCGCGGCCTGCTCATGATAGCCTAGAGAATGCGCCGCTGGCGGAGGAGTGGGTGCGCGAGGCGGGGCATCCACGACTGCGACGGCGTTGCCATCGTCGCGCGCGTCTTCGACGTATGCGTTGTGGGGCGTGAGTGCTTGCGAGTTGTCGTGGTAGGCGCTGTCCCGCTTCTGCTGCGGGCCCTTCTTCTTCTCTTTGTAGAGTTTGCCCTGGTACTTCTGGTCTTCGGTTATGCAGGCCTGGTTCGCGTCTGTCAGCCACTTTGAACAATGAAAAATCGAACACGGCGCAATGCGCAGTGCTGGCGCAAGTCGTGCAGCAATCGATAGGCGTTGTTTCGAGGCCGGCAGATCGGCATATAGGGCAGGAGAAGCATATGCGTACCGTGTGGGACTTGTAAGAAGTTCCCGGGAAGTGCACCATGCAGTCGAGGCAGGTAAAGGACGCGCCATAGCACTGGTTGCGGTGGCCGTCAAGCTTCTTCTTTGTGAGGACGTCTCCACAGTTCTAAGCCGTCACAGTCAGCATACGATGCATGGCTACGGCAGGGGCGCATGGTGGGGGAGAGGTAAACATGGGACATGGGGCTCAAGTACCTCGCAGGAGAACGACACCATGGTGGGAATGCGGGTTTCGATGGACAAGAGGCGGTGAACAGCTGGCAGACGGTCAATGGAGGAGAGGATGGAAGAGTCGGTGTGGGGAGGGGGCGCCGCGTCGTTATCACCCCTCGCTGGCCCAGGGAAGGTTTCAGTTGTTTGGGATACAACAAAAGTCGGTATAGCGCTAAGTTGCTTTGGGAACAGGCCCCTGTGACAGTGCGCGCCTCGCGACTCTCCCGAAATACATCAACTGACCGCGCATCGCAGCTGCAGCCCGTTAGCGCCTGCGAATCGCTGCACTTGAGCCACGCGCCCGCCGAACTGGTGGGCTTGGTGGGCTGCCCAGCGCCCTCTCCCAATGGCTCGCCGACCTGGAGCATCAAAGTGCCATGACGCACTCGTATCACACACGGTCCAGAGGGGCACAGTGTCGCAGGTAGAGTGCGATGCTTCGTTCTACCATCCTTCTATCATGCTTGATAAGGCCATCTTGGTGGCTCACCTCGCGACAGGGCTGTTCCTGTCCGACGGCTGATCTCTTGAACATTCATTCGCTAGGGCATTGCTAGGGCAATTTCGAGTCCGGTTTACATCCCACCACCACAAAGCCACTGCGAGACACTGCCGTGTGAAACCCCGCCGACGAACTCTGCGATCTGCCGGGAAGGCCGGAGCTGCTCCGTCGGTATCTTTCAGCTATCGTCTTGACTATTGGCTTATTGGCTCCCTCCCAGGTCGCGAGCAGCCATTTGCGGCGTAGCAGGTACCCGCAAATACTGCTATCGTGACCAAGACGCGACCCGTCTGCGCAGCGCAATGTCTCGGGCATTGCGCATCAAGTCCGCTGCGCCATCCAACCCCAACCTGCATGCAAACACATCCTGCATGTTTCAACATGGGGCTTTTGCGGTCGTAAAGGATACATTGTCAAGTGTATCTTTCAAGGCGATGCGCTTGCCTGCTGATCTCTCTGCCACTCTAGCGCTTTATCATCCGGGGTCTTATGCAGCTGTGTCTTTGTTCGATGTCGGATCGTCGTCTCCACACTGGATGTTGGTGTGCGCGGTCAGTACATGTCTCACATGTCTCACATGTGGTTCGTACAGGGACACTACTTACACCGCAATCATACGCGTCGCCTATGTCTTCGCAGTTGAACTCCGGCTTCCCCAGCCGCTTGTTGACGATGTTGTGTACGTAGCAACCCCACATGGCAGCCGCTGTCCGTGACGAGACCTGGGGAGGATACTTGGCGAGTACTTGTCCGAAGTGCT